CGGGCACGCTTGAAGCTCATGATGCCCTCACATCAAGAAACGACCCGAAAACTTCCCCTACATGAGCGAAAGGCGTCAACAAACATGTAAGCTGCAAACGAAAGGGCATTCAGACACACATGATGACTGAAAGCCGATCTGTTTGAACAAAGTCTGAAAATGATTGCATGTTCCATGCCCTCGCTTTCCCAGCACGCGTGCGCTAGGCTCTGAAGATCAGCGGATCTGCTGATCCACCCCAGCATACCAACCACAAGTGTTTGCTCCTTCAGCTACATTGTTGATGACTGTAAAAAAGACAACATGTAGATTCGCCCAATCATGATCAAAGTTCTAGCCCGGTTTAGGGTTTGGGGTTTAGGGTTTAGGGGTTTAGGGTTTAGGGATTGGGGATTAGGGATTATAGGGATTAGGAATAAATTCAAGAATAACAGGAAATGCCTTTACTTTGCTTTCGTTGCATATATGAGCTACTGCAGGTAGAAGAGGTTTGGGGATCCAATTTTAATGTAGTATAATAGGGAGTCCAGCTTCACATGATTCAGCAATTGAAGTGTGCTTTGACAAAGGAGTATACCGCAAACCCTGGACCCTCCACCCCAAACCCTAAACCTGAACCCCTAAACCCTAAATAGGCCTCTACTAGCTTGCATACAAGATCCTCAAACACGGGTAGGAGATAGAAAGTAGAACCCACCCCAAATCTGGTACCCCATATGCACCATAGACTCTATAATGACAGCAGTAATAAATGGGGGGTGGGTTCTACTTTCTAGATCTTCCCCGACTACTCCAATCGCACCTGGGACATCAAGAGCAAACATTCGCAGCTTGATATGGCAACACCCAAGAAACTGCTCAGCCGGAGCTAAGGCAAACCACGATCAGTTGCTGGCTGGCAGGCTCGCATTGGAGGACCCGCGTTTGCACTTGCTGGCCTTCCCTTTAGCTTTTGCTCTAGCCTTCGGCTTACTCGAGGCACGCAACGAATCTGTGGCCTCACGCTTTGC